TGCCTCAGCCTCCCAAGTAGCTGGGACCACAGGCGCCCGCCACAACGCCTGGCTATTTTTTGGTTGCAGCCATCATTGTTGTTTGGCAGGCCCGGGCTGGGGATTCGAACCCGCCACCTTAGGTGTATGTGGCTGGCGTCTTAGCTGCTTGAGCCACAGGTGCCGAGCCCACTCTGTTTTCCAGACTAGAATGCAATGGTGTCTTTCTAGCTCACAGAAACCTCAAACTTTTGGGCTCAAGTGATTCTCCTGTTTTAGCCTCCCAAGAAGGTGGGAATATAGGCAGGCACATCAATGTACTAATTCTTCTATTTTTAGTAGAGATGGGTCTCACTCTTGCTTAAGCTTTTCTCAAACTCCTGAGCTCAAGGGATACTCCTGCCTTGGCCTTCCAGAGTGCTAGCATTATAGATGTGAGCCATCACACCTGGCCATGCAGCCTATGATTTTTAAATGACTAGAAGATAAAATATTAATATTACTTTTTGAAGATCTTGAGTGATTTGGGGGTTTTTAAATGTGTTTTTCTATAAGTTCTAGATTTTTATCTTAGAAACATACATACATTTCAGCAGCGCCCGTAGCTCAGTGGGTAGGGTGCCGGCCACATACACCCAGGCTGGTGGGTTCAAACCTGGCCCAGGCCAGCTAAAACAGCAATGACAACTACAACAAAAAAAAATCCAGGCATTGTGGTGGGCACCTATAGTCCCAGCTACTCTTGGAATTGCTTAATCCCAAGAGTTTGAGGTTGCTGTGAGCTGTGACACCACCGCACCCTAACAAGGGCAACATAGTGAGACTCTGTTTAAAAAAAAATACATACATAAGTAAATATAAATATAGATATATATTTTTTCCCTTCTGTAAAAGAGAAAGTCATATACCAGAATGTTCACAGCATTTGCCTCTGAGTAATTATGAGTAATTTTTAAAAATCTTACATAATTGAGGCTGGGCACAATGGCTCACATCTATAATCCTAACACTCTGGGAAGCTGAGGCCAGTGGATTGCTTGAGCTCAGGAGCCGGTCTTACCTCATCTCTAAAAATAGCCAGCTGAGCCTGTAGTCCCAACTACATGGGAGGCTGAGGTAAGAGAATTGCTTAAGTCCAAGAGTTTGAGGTTGCTGTGAGCTGTGATGCCACAGCACTCTACCAAGGGTGACAAAGTGAGAGTCTGTCTCAAAAAAAAAAACTTACTTAATTGTAATTTCCAATTTGTTTCTAGTGAATCATGATGGCTGAAATAATGCCAAAAGCAGTAAGAGAATTATCTGAAGCCACTTTCTCTCTGCTCCTTTCACAAGGGGCAGCTCTACCTCTTGACTAGACTGAGCTCCTTGAAGCCTGGGCAGGTCTGAATCAGCCCCAGGGCCCCAGGCTGAGTGCTTTGCAAAACAGTCTTATAAAGTAGGTGTACATT